GTGGCGAAGAGAGACGATCCTTGATTTTTTTGAAGGCTCTGTCGGCATTTTGCGTCCAGACAAACGGTTTATTAACCTTGTTGAGTTCGTGTATGGGACCCATAAGTTTTGAAAACATATCTGACCTGATTTGTTCGGGAAGACGTGTCTCTAGGAATTGTCTGATCCACACTAAACGGCCGATAAAGCTTTGTAATTCCTTTTTTGATGTTGGAGGTTTCATTTCCCCGATGGCACGAACGTATTCTGGATCAGCCTTGAATCCTTCGCTGTTTACTATGCGCCCGAGGAATTTTGCCTCTGATGCGAGGAAGGAACATTTATCGGGATTCAGCTTGAGTCCGAATTTTCGGAGGGCAGTAAAAAATTGTTCGAGGGAAAGTATGTACTCCCTAAATGTCCTAGCGTGGACCAGGTTGTCGTCGATATAAGAAGAAATGTTGTCACGGGATGTGACCGTGGCTAGGGCTTCTGCTATGCAACGGGAGAAGATTTGTCCGGCAGATGTAAGGCCGAAGGCCAGGTGCGTGTATTGATAGCATTGGTCCTTCCATGTAAATGCTGTTTTGTATCGGTCTCGCTTGTCGATCTCAATTTGCCAGTAGCCGCTGCGTAGATCGAGGGTAGTAAAATATCTATTTCCTTTGCCGATTTTGTTGAACAAGTGGTCGATCCTTGGCATTGGGTAAGGGTCAAGATCGACTAAGACCTTGTTGAGGGTTCTTTTAAAGTTAGCAACGACACGAATCGATCCGTTTTTCTTGCGTATGGCAAATACAGGGCTATTGAAGCCTTTGGGGTCGCTGCAGTTTTCAATGATACCTTCATCAGCCATACGCTTAATTTCATTATCTACGTCTGCTTCCAAAGCCTGGGCTATCGGGTGTTGTTTCTGGCTGCGAGACTGGCCGTTGGTTGGTATGCGGATGGGTCGGATGAATGTGCCTTTGCTGCTGCTTTCTGTGCCGATAATGTCAGCGTACCGAATGAGTAAGTTTGCTGTGGCCTCTAGTTCGTCTCGGTACAGGTGGTTTGGTAGCGATAGCCCCGTGTTATGCTTTAGCCAGGTTAGCTTTTGATCCAGTGTCTGGATGTTGGGCTGTAATTCCATAGTAGGCTGGTTTTGGATGATGTCAGCTTGGGCGCCATATGCTGGATCGTTGGTTGACGATGACGGTGATATGAGTGCGGCTGTGTGTGTTGTGTATCCCGAGGAAAGTGTGCGTCTGAATTCTATAGTCGCATTTTGGTTGTCTATTAGATAGGAATCGAGCGTGTTGTGACATAGGATATTTTGGCCGATCGGGATCGGTGTGGTTTGGGTAGTTACCAGCACGTTAACCTTTTTGAATGTGGGTGAGTCTCGACTGCCGATGGTGATATCGCAAGTCAGTTCGCCGAAGGAGGTGGTGCTGCCGTTGATTCCTTTTACTAGAGACGTCGGAGCGGGTCATGAGTTTCTTGGCTTCTCTGGGTAATCGAGATATTGGTACGATGCAGGTGAAGCATCCAGAGTCTAGCATTGCGACGCCAGAGAAGGTGATGTCCCCGAAGTTGAAGGTGGACTGGACGAGCGGTGAATGGTGAGCGAGTCCGTGAAAGTTGAAGGTGTGATAGCTGACATAGGGGCATGGTGAACGAGGCATCACATCTCGTCCTGCCCGAAGCGAAAATCCTGTTCCACATCATTTATGGTTTGTATGTTATCATTCGTTGTGCCCGAGTGCGAGGTGGGTGGCGATATAGGCAGTTGCGTCCATGGTGGCAGGGGCGACCTCTGAGGTAGTTCTTGCACACGTTGATTCGTGGTGTGTGCTGATGGTTTCTGCGTGTCGGATGGTGGCCATGTTCGGGAGGGTTGGTGAGGCCCGTCTGCTGTGGGTTTGGTTGGCTGCTGGGTCGGAGTGGTGCGTTTCTTTGGTTTGACCGCTGTGGTTTCTGTGTGAATTACACAGTGTTGTGCGAAGTCGTGTCGTTGGATTTTACACCGCGATCAAGGTATATTTGATCTTCGGAGGCTATACCAATGGCTGAATAGGGGTTGTCCATTGTCTTGACGAGATGTGGGTAAAGATTTGAGTTCCAAATTTTCACCTTTTCGCTCATTAGCATAGCGCCGATGATGGAAATAAGTCCATCGACTGTTAAGTCTGTATTTTTGTCTTTTTTGTATTTGTTTTTTATGTGGACGGCTGCCTCTCTAAGGGTGTTTTCGAGTCGACCCGCGAAATCTGTTAATTTTTCGCCGTCTCGCCGTTCCAGATCCCAGGCTTGACTGAGGTGTTGGAAGTTAGTCATCTGGCTTCCGTGGGCTCCTAATAAGTATTCCTTCAGTTGTTCGAAGGTGGATATGTCCTTTTTGGAGTCAACTATCTGCTGAAAGATACTTTGGTCCAGTAAATCTTTAGCAGACTTGACGAATTCGCATTCCAGTCTGGGATAGGTGCTGCGTTCTGGCGTGACGTGGATTGTGTATGCTTTGTTTAGGGCCGTGATGAATCGGTTCACGTCATGTCCAGGGTGAAAAGTTCTTTCTAGCTTCAATATGTCGCGTATAGTTTGTTGGCGCATCATTAAGTTGTAATCGCCGTTTGTTTGAGCGGTGGGAGGTGTTGAAGTAGTTGATTTTAGGGCAGTCAGCATGTCGTTTATGTCGACTTGAATTTCCTGTATCGTGGCTTCGGAAGGCTGTGTTGGTCCCGTTTTCAATTTGAATAGTAATATTTTCTGTTCCTTGATGAGAGTAAATAGTTCGGCTCGGGTGAAGCTCGTGTAGTCGGCCATATTTCTCTTGTTGTACGCTTCTGACACCAGTGTTATAGACAAGCGTATGGTTGCAAGAAAGAAACACGATAACAGCAGTTGGGACAGCTACCTTGTGGTAAAGTTCATAAGCCGGCTTTCGGATCTAGGTCGATCTCTCATAGTAGTTCACACATGTTGACGGTGGTTGACGCTCCCCTGCTGACAGCAGCTGGACCGTGACAGGTCTCTACCCTGGGCACCTGTGGACTGCCTGTTGAACTTCCGTGTGACCCCTTTTATAGCGTTTTTTTATGGCTTGACAGCCTCGAAAAACGAAGTGAGTATAATTAGGAGGGAAGCATTTTTATTGGACGAAAAATAGAACACTTTAAATATTATTTTATTTTTCGACCGGAACTCGTGTGTCGGGAAAATTTGTAAACGAAGATAATGGTTATTTGTGACGGGGCTTTGTCCCGTTCACATCCGACTCTCGCTCCTCAGTATTTGCCTGTAAATCAGCCGAGATATGTCTTATTTTATTTTATAACAAGAGCAAAATATATTTTGTAGTAATCTATATGATAAACAAGGTAATATTTCTGTTTTTTTTAATACTACATCTGTCCCATAATACTTCTAACATTTACTGTATGGAATATCTATGAAAATGTAACAATAATATATATTTGATACATCCTGTATCTCTCTCTCTCTCTCTCTCTCTATATATATATATATATATATATAGTCTTAAGGTGTGCTATATAAATGGTATAAAGTGCTCAATTTCAGAGATAGAGCGTGTGTAAATATAAAAGTGAACATTGAAGTCAACACTTAGAATCGACAGTCTGTTTCGTCTAGCACGAAACAGTCAGGTCGCCTTAAGTGTTGACTTTCAATGTTCACTTTTATATATATATATATATATATATATATATATATATATATAATTATTAATAATTAAAATAGTTCGCTTATTTTTTTCTTTGTTTGTATTAATAATTAAATTTAATAAAAGTGAAGTATTTCATTTTAATTATCAATAATTACTATTGTTTTCATAATTTTGTGATCTAGAATTTCTAGAATTACCCCGGTGGGTCGCCTTTTTGGCAAATTAAAGTCTTTATTATTGTTTTCACGCACACATTCACACATATGTATGTGTGCCTATGTGTACGTATGTGTCAGACATTTTCCCAGGGAACACAGATATTACACTGATCCCAAGAAGAATTTTCAAGAAGCAACATTTTGATCCAACGTAGAACACACATGTACTCTATTGCTAGGTAGAATTGCTGATTCCTATTTAAATAAACCCGTCATTTTTTACGGGTACTCTGCTCGTAAAATAATAATGATTAAAAAACAAATTATCATCTAGGGAGTAAATGGGCTGCTTACATTTTTTTTCCGCCTGCCAGAATTTGCAGTGATTAGCGTGAATGAAAATTTTGTCGTATTTCTTTCATAAATCCTACCCGTGATACCAAGAGTTACATAAACCGTTTGGAATGTATATGCATTTGCGATTTCTTTTTCACATTACTTTACTGTAAATACAATTTTTTTTTTTTTTTTTTTTTTTTGCAGCTGGCCGAGTTGCTCATAAAATAAACTCTTTATCTCAGTAAATAAATAGTTTCATTGATAAAAGACAGTGAAAAATGAAGAAACCAATTCCTTTGCATCTAGGATTGCCCAAACCTTGAAAGTTACTGAAACATGACCCAACAAAAGAATAAATAATCACTTTATTTCACACGTTCTCCACCAAAACGTTTTTCCTGTTAGCTTTTTTCTTTTCCTTCTTTTCCCCTGCTTTTTTCTCTTTACTTTCTTTCTTTTGTTGAATTTTTTTTTCATTTTTTATTTTATTCCTGCATTCATAAATCTTTTAACTTTCTTTTCTTTTTTAACGTTTTCATTTTGCTTATGTTGAAATTTTATACATTTTTTCTTGCTTTCTTTTTTCTTTTCTGTCTTTACTTGCTTTCTTTATTCTCTCTTTTTTCTTTTCTTACTTCATTTACTTTCTTTGATCTTTCTTGCTTGCTTGCTTTTTTCTTTCTTGCTTTTCTTTCTTTCGTTTTTCTTACTTTCTCTTTTATTTACTTTCTTTTTTACTTTCTTTCTAACTTTTTCCTTCTTTTTTTCCTTTCTTTCTTTTTACTTTCTTACTCTCTATTTCTATTGGTCGCTATTCTTTTTCAATTAAGTTTTCTCGATTTTATACTTTTTAAAAGATTTTTGACCTTCAACCCGTCTATCTTTTCTTCAATTTCTTCTCATTTTTTCTTCTTCGTTTAGTTTTCACTGTTACGTGATGTTGCTGAAATGTTCTTAAATCACACCCCAAAATCTGACCAAACATCAGAATTTTTTTTGAATGGCTTCTTGGTCGGCCTGAGAATTTTTCAGCACGCCTCGTACTTCTGTTTTTTTTTTTTTGTTGTTTTTTTTTAGTTTGTTTTGCTTTCTGTTATTTTAGCTCTCCTCTCTCTCTCTCTCTCTCTCTCTAAGTTTCTTTCACTGTCTTGCTTTCTGTTTCTTTTCACTCGCTTTCTCTTTTTATGTTACCCGTTTCTTTTATTTTTCTGAATTTTTCTTTTACTTTCTTCTCAAATTTGTGTTTTTCGTTGTATATGTCTTTCTTTTTCTCTTCGCTTTTTCCCACTTTGCTACATTTCTCTCTCTCTCTCTTTCTCTCTCTCTTTCTCTCTCTTTCACACACACACACACACACACAAACGTTTGTTTTCTATCGCTCGCTTTATTTTTTTTCCATTTTTTTTCTGAAAAAAAAAATGCTCTTTCCCTTTTTGTCAACCCTTTTTCGTTTCATGTTACTCTTCTATACAGAGCCGGTCTGTACTACCCATGACCTTGAGAAGCCCGATTGGAGGTTTCGGGCAGTGCATCATGACCCTCGCTATCTTAATACTACTTTATGAAAACTGAGATGTAGCAGAGTGGTGGTGGTGAGTGGGGGGTGAGGTATCTGATTAAAGATTTTTTTTTTAACTTCGCAATCGATCGATCACTTCCCATCCTATCCCAAATTTCGCTGGCCATTCCTAGATCTTCGTGTTGCTACTTCTTATTTTCATCCACTTTTGCAATCCTTCAGGTGAGGTTGGGCCTGTCATTTCATCACGACATTCACTTTCGGCCAATCAACAATGAACCCTATCGTTCAGCATTTTCAACGGAATATATAAAACCTTTGTCTGCGTCGGCGAAATTTAAAATGACTAATCGATGTACTTGAAACAAAGACATCATTATTTGAAACAAAGAGTTTCAATATTTGAATATTTTATTCAATATTTAATATTCGTAACAAATAGATCTTTATCCCTAGGGTAAAAACAGAGGGTTTCAGAGAATTTTGAAACCTTGATAAAGATTTTAAAATGAAGAAAAAAAATGTTTATCCACTAAGCGATTTCGAAGTGCTTTTAATTTTCCAACAAAAAGCATTCCTTAATAATTTCAGGCCATATTTTTCGAAGGGAGAACAAATAGATTATAATAAATCAATTATCGAAATTATTTTCTTCTACTGTTCTTGGTCACCTAAATTCAGAAGTTCCTTTATCAAAAAAATTAGGCTTTGCTTGTATTACCATCACGTTTTTTATTATGTACCCTCTAAATTTCCTCACTCTCATACATTGCCTCTGTCACGTTCATTCGCTTTACTTTTTGTTTTTTGTTAGTTATTTTTATCACATTCTACCTTTCCTCCATTGTGTGCTCATAGTTTGCCTTTTTCCCTTTCACACACTTTTCTTTCTATTATTTTCTAGATTTTCTCATTTTCTACCTTTCCTCACTTTCGTCTACATACCTTGCCTCTTTTCCTTTCACTCGCTTTTCTTTTTGTTCTTTCATACCTTTTTTCTTACCTTCTGCCTGTCTTCACTTTCGTCTCCATACTTTGCCTCTTTCCTTTCATTCGCTTTTATTTTGTTTTTTTGTACGTTTTTACTCATTTCTACCATTCCTCACTTTCGTCGACATATGTTGACTTTTTTCCTTTCAGTCGCTTTTCTTTTTGTTTTATCGTAGGTTTTTAGACATTTCTACCTTTCCTCACTTTCGTCGACATGCCTTGTCTCTTTTCCTTTCACTCGCTTTTATTTTTGTTTTTTCGTAGGTTTTTACACATTTCTACCATTCCCCACTTTCGTCTCCATACTTTGCCTCTTTTCATTTCACTCGCTTTTCTTTTTGTTTTATCGTAGCTTTTTTCGAATATTCTACCTTTCCTTACTTTCGTCTCCATACCTTACCTCTTTTCCTTTCATTCGCTTTTATTTTTGTTTTTAGTACCTTTTTCTCATTTCTACCATTCCTCACTTTCGTCAACATATGTTGCCTCTTTTCCTTTCACTCGCTTTTATTTTTGTTTTATCGTATCTTTTTTCTCACTTTCTACCTTTACTTACTTCCGTCTCCATACTTTGCCTCTTTTCCTTTCACTCGCTTTTCTTTTTTTTTTTCGTCGGTTTTTACTCATTTCTACCATTCCTCACTTTCGTCGCCATACCGTGCCTCTTTTCATTTCACTCGCTTTTATTTTTGTTTTTTTCATAGCTTTTTTCGAACATTCCACCTTTCCTTACTTTCGTCTCCATAACTTGCCTCTTTTATTTTCATTCGCTTTTATTTTTGTTTTTCGTCGGTTTTTACTCTTTTTTTTTTTTTTTTTACCTTTCCTCTTTTTATTTTCGTCGTGCCTTTTTTCTCACTTTCTACCTTTTCTTTTTTTTTTCCTTGCCTGTTTTCTTTCACTCGCTTTTATTTTTGTTTTATCGTAGCCTTTTTTGTTTTGTTTTTTTTTACCTTTTTTCTCACTTTCTACCTTTTCTCACTTTCGTCGCCATTCCTTGCCTGTTTTCTTTGCACTCGCTTTTATTTTTGTTTCATCGTAGCTTTTTTCTTTTGTTTTGTTTTTTTTTGTACCTTTTTTCTCACTTTCTACCTTTCCTCACTTTCGTCTCCATACCTTGCCTCTTTTCCATTCCTCGCTTTTTTTTGTTTTTTGCTTTTTTTCTAGTACCATTTTTTTTCTCACTTTTCTTTTACTTTTTTTACCTTTCTTCTTAGTTTGTTCGTCTTTCGTCGCCATATTTTTGCCTCTTTTTTCCATTACTCGCTTTTCCTTTTGTTTTTCCGTAATTTTTTTTCTCCCTTTCTAGTTTTCCTTTTATTTTTTTTTTCTTTCACTCCTTTTCTTCTCTTTTTTGTACCTTTCCTCACTTTAGTCGCCATACCTTGCCTCTTTTCTTTCACTCGCTTTACTTTTTGTTTTATCGTAGCTTTTTCGCTTTTCCATTATACCTTTCCTTTTGTTTTTTAATTTTTTTCTCCCTTTCTAGTTTTTTTGTCTCCATACTTTTTCCTTTCGTTTCCTTTTCACTCTTTTTTTTTTTCATTTTTTCGTACCTTTTTCTCTTTTCTTTTTTTCTACCTTTTCCTCACTTTCGTCGCCATCATTTTTGCCTCTTCCTTTCTTTTTCCTTTCCTCCTTTTGTTTTTTCGTACCTTTTTTCTCACTTTCTACCTTTCCTCACTTTCGTCGCCATACCTTATCTCTTTTCCATTCACTCGCTTTTCCTTTTGTTTTTCCGTAATTTTTTTTCTCCCTTTCTAGTTTTCCTCATTTTTGTCTCCATACCTTTTTTCTCCTTTCTTTTCCTTTCCTCCTCGCTTTTCATTTTGTTTTTCGTACCTTTTTTTCTCACTTTCTTCCTTTCCTCATTTTTGTCTCCATACCTTGCCTCTTTTTCTTTCACTCGCTTTTCTTTTTGTTTTTTCGTACCTTTTTTCTCACTTTCTTCCTTTCCTCATTTTTTTCCGTACCTTCTCTTTTACCTTTTGCTTTTCTTTTTTCCTTTTTTCACTTTCTCCTTTTCATTTTTTTTTTTTTTTCCTTTCCTCCTTTTCATTTTGTTTTTTTCTCACTTTCTTCCTTTCCTCATTTTTGTCTCCGTACCTTGCCTCTTTTCCTTTCACTCGCTTTTCATTTTGTTTTTTCGTACCTTTTTTCTCACTTTCTTCCTTTCCTCATTTTTGTCTCCGTACCTTGCCTCTTTTCCTTTCACTCGCTTTTCATTTTGTTTTTTCGTACCTTTTTTCTCACTTTCTTCCTTTCCTCATTTTTTTGTCTCCGTACCTTGCCTCTTTTCCTTTCACTTTGCTTTTCATTTTGTTTTTTCGTACCTTTTTTCTCACTTTCTTCCTTTCCTCATTTTTGTCTCCGTACCTTGCCTCTTTTCCTTTTCACTCCTTTTCATTTTGTTTTTTTTCATTTTTTTCGCACCATTTTGTTTTTTCTCACTTTCTTCCTTTCCTCATTTTTGTCTCCGTACCTTGCCTCTTTTCCTTTCACTCGCTTTTCATTTTGTTTTTTCGTACCTTTTTTCTCACTTTCTTCCTTTCCTCATTTTTGTCTCCGTACCTTGCCTATCTTTCTCTTATTTGCTTTTCTTTTTTTTTTCGATGGAGAGAAGAATACATATATTATTATAAATCAATTTTCGAAATTATTTTCCTTCTTCTACCGTTAATTTGTAGCTAAATTTAAAATTTCCTTTTTGAAAAGGTGGCTTTTTTGTTCTTCTTACTCTGCGTTTTTCTTTGGCGGAAGGGCGCGGAGCCAAAATAATCACGTGTCATATTGGCAGCCAAGTTTTTTTTGTTTTTTTTTTTAGGTGGATATATTTTTAATAAATTTTTTTCGACTTTTCAGCCCAAGCAGTTCCAACTTATTTTTAATATCCAAATTACATACTAAATGTGAATTAATTTTCATTCGGACAGCTTCTTCCCAAGGACTAATGCCTTGTGAAGCAGGTTCCCGCGTAGATGCTTCCCTGATCGCAAGAACCTAATATCTTTCTATATATCCTCATAATCTACACTTTTTGCCACCTTCGCATATTCTCATAAAACAACCTCACTCATTAACATTCTACCGAGTGGCTTTTGTGTCTTGTATCAGATGAAGAATTTGTTTATAAATTCAAAAAAGTAAATTTGCTTTCTAGGCTTTTCACATTAAACTTATAGGGTTAACTCTATTACGAATGGCCGTTCATTGTAAATTTTATTTGTAAAATCCACCCTAGTCATCTTGTCATAAGTACAAATGTTACGATTCTTACAGTAATGAATAATTTTTTTTAACTGCGTCCCAAAGCCTCTGAAGCAGTACATAGAATTTGGAAAGTAAAAGTAAATGAAACAATATCTGACCGCACTCCCCCCCAAAACGGTTTAAGTGTTTTAAGGGTGGTGATTTATTGAAATAAAGTTTAGAATTAGACTACTGTCATTTGTCAATGTTGATGCTTTCAAACGCTGTGTAAAGGGAACCCAACCACTTGCATTCAAAAACTTTCAGAAGAGCTGCTATATTCGAAATATAAAATATATATTCTTTTATAATTAAGATATAGAATGCGTTACACGACGTTACTTATTTTATAATGAAAACATAGAATATGTTATATGGCGTTACTTCATTTATAACTAGAATATAGAATATATTACATGGGGTTACTGCTTTTTAATTGAAGTATACACTATGTTACGTAGCGTTGCTTCTTTTCTAACTCAACTATAATTATGTATTATGATTTTAGAAAGTGAAAATTTCATTGAAATATATTGTAAATTTTCCAAGTTTTAATCTGAAATCAAGAAAATACGAACATGCAAAATGGTCAAAATATATGATAAATAGGCTTCAGGAGGCTATGAGTTAAGCTCTATTATAGACACACATGTTAATCTGAGCACGTGTGTATTTGGGTGTGTACAAGGGTAGACCGATAAGTCATAGTTATTAACTCGTGGGCTAAATTTCATTCAAATTCTTGAAGTGTTGTTTATATCTGGGATAGGTCATTTTTAATACCATCTTTTTTATCTTCATATATTGAGGAGCACAGAGGTTTCTCTCCTCTCAATTTTTTAGCTCGTATCCAAGCTGATTAACAAATAACCCCCCAAAAATGTACCTGAAAGAATTAACAGAATTTTGATCTGAGATTTTCACTGTATAATGTATTATTTCTGGGATTCACATTCCCTTCTGGTTTAAGAGCATTCACAAAACAGAAATGGCGATTATGTGGAAAAATAAATATTTGTTATGTAAAAAAATCTTCTTTTTTTAATAATTAAGCTACGAACTTATTGATATACCAGCGTATACTATAAAGAAAGAGTTTCAATTTTTAAGGCACATTATGAAGAAAGAAGACTTCAAAAATTTAATACTCTCAGGGCATACTGAAGAAAGAAGAAGCAGAGAAAACAGTGAGTGATCAACCTAATGTGTTTAATCGAATGGATACTTCGAGATAGGAAGTTGTGGGGAGCTATGATTGCCCACGTCGTAAACAGACACGGCACACAAAAGGAGACATAAATTATGGAACCCGAGGAATAGGCTTTATGAAACCAGTTCTTCCAACGATCCGCTACTTTGTGGAACTGACTTCCGATAAGATGCTTTCCCGACAACTACAATCCTAACCTCTTCAAATCTAGGGTTAACCCTTATCTTCCCCACCTATCCCCCATACTCTTAATCACTCATACAGCACATTCCTTTTGTAACCTCTACCTTGAGTGGCTCTTAGGCCTTGTATAAGATGGATATTAAAAGAAAAGAAAAGCAAATGGAGGGGAAAATGAAACAATAATCGTGGTTAAAGTTAATGCTAATGACATTTGAATTCAGCAGTGAAGTTTTCGGCTTTTCTTGCCATTGACCACTAAATTTACTGCTTCTCCATCAATCTTTGTTATGGGTTCTCGATGACGTTGACGTTCGGCAATTAGACTGGCAAACAAAGCACGCATTTCAGTGCTACTGTCGTCAGTGCGAACCTGGTTAAGTATTTAAACTTTACGCCCTCGATCCAACGATCTGTAACGGGGCCGAATGTTGCGTTGTTAATGTAAGTTACCTCGTGTTACATGTATTAGTAATCTTTTTTTATACTGAAAATGAAATGAATAAAACGTACAATAACATACAACAATAAGACTTTGAGAAATGTGCTGAAATTAATGACAACAATGTGTATTTTTCTTTTCGTAAATGTTATTTACAATATTGGTTTTGTGTGTGTGTGTGTGTGTGTGTGTGTTAAATGTTTTCAAGGTTATTGTATCTTTTTGTTTCTTTAAAATTACTTGTTTATAATTGTTCTGAGAATTTCGTGGTTAAGGGAAGCCTTTGAAACCGTCAACTATGGATTTTCACGGAGCGAAGAAGATACATCTTGTCTGTTTTGTTCTTTTTACTACTGCTACTTTGCTTGTGGTGGAAAGGCTGTTTTTAGAATGATGAAGTTTCAGATCTTTATTTTGAGAATGATGAAATATCATTATCACGAATCATAAAAGATCCCAAACCATTCCCGGAGATGCAACCCATGACAATCTCTGCTCCGTGTTTAACTCTTACTCTTCACCTACCCTTCCAATGTACCTCTGAAACATCAAACCCAAATCTGTTTAAAGCTGATTCATCAGTCTATATAACTTTAGATCACTTTTTCAAGCTCATATCTTCATTGCAGGATTGTTATGGCGATCGAACCAATTTTCAAGTTATATTTTTTACTTATGTCATTACTTCTTTCACCTGTAGTCGTTCTCTTAAAGCTAATCGAAAGTCAATGAATGTACCTATCGATTAGTATGATGTTCTTTCTTTCATTTGATCTAAAAATTGTCTTTGTTTACGTTAGGATACGAAACTGAGCAGATATATGCAGAGTGACTGAACTCCCTATTTTAATATATGATGGACTCTCCCGTTTTGTAAAAATTATAGTTAGATAGGAGAGTCCATCATATATAAAATAGGGAGTAACTTCCCAGTCACTCTGTATATTTCTATAAAATGGAAAGGTTTAAGGGAAGCAGGTTCGAATCCTGCCGGAGAGCGCATATTTTTCCTATAAGATTTCTCGAATATTCAGGTCAGTAAATGGAAATAAATAAATATACTGTTTAATAAATAAATAAAAACAGATCATCTACTCAAATATATATATAAATATATATATATATATATATATATATATATATATATATATATATATAATCGACTCTCCAGTCGAGTTCGACGTATGAGGGTCAAGCAGATCAGTTCCTAGGAACCGATAGCCCGACACCAGTACATGAGATTTGATTATAGTGGTGAAGGTTTTGTGCAGAACCATCCACACTTTTTGAAGGGCCAAATAAAGAATGACCCTCCGGAGGTTTTGAATTCAGAGTTGTCCTTCTCTTATCCCAGTTGCCATCCAAGGCTATAGAACCCAGTGTATCCTGCTATTTACCCATTACTGGAGGGAGAAGAGGACTCATACCTTTCCCAAGGGTATTAGCACGTAAGTGAATCTAATGGATTCGACTGGAATTCGAACTCGGCTCTCTGATTCCTCAATCCAAACCGCTATCCATTACTCCATCGTGCAGATTCTTCTTTGTTATTTTATGAAGAATTTGCAATGTTATTGGTCCTGACCTGGCATCTCAGTTACAGTCACTTTTTCGTGACTGTAACTTAGCTTTCCTGTGCCCTTTCTATAAATACTTTCATGGTAATTATTCTGATGAGCTTTTCTCTTTGGTACCTAGACTTTATGAATTTAAACGCAGTACTAGATTATTGGCAGCAAGGTCTCATCCTTTTACAATTGAAACGGCTTCTTTTTCTATGTTCTATGCTAACAGTTTCATATCTCGCCCTTTTCTCTTCCAACTTCATGCTTTCCAGACAACTTTAATCTTTAAAAATGTAAATGCAACGTCAATCATTATCGTCAGTCTTAATTCATGTTCTTTTATTGTTCTCGCTACTTAATGTTTTCTTTTTCAAATATTATCTCACACTCTGTAACTCCCCTTGCATCTTAATGACTTTATTGCCTTGCTTAGAGTGAAATGGTGGAAAGAAAATATGGCGTTAGTGTTTGTTTTAAGGTGATATCTGAAAAAGTTTCTATGTTACCAATGGTGCAAGACCGATTACCAAAATTATTCTTCCACAATATTTCTATCCATTTTTGCGTTTCAACATGAGACGTTTATTTACGCTTATATTGAACTCCGATCTAATGAACATGATTGTATCAAGTCTTACATTGTTTTTAATGCTAGGTCCCTGTCAAGACGTAGGCGATCATGGCTCTCAACAGATTCCTTTTCTTTATTATGACTTTTCGGGAAGAGATTTTGGAGTGTTTTCCCATTAGATTCTTCAAGGTTTGGAATTCAGAGTATTCTCTCCTTTAAACTGATCACCTCTTAAGACTAGAGAGTCTAGGCTACCCTTCTATTTAACTTATAGGTGTTGGTGGGGGGAAGAGATGGATCTATTTCTTTACCCAAGGCATTTATGCGAAGGTGAATGGAGAATACGAGACTGGAATTTCAACTCGTAGTGCCAATTCCCTTTTCCGTAGGACAGAAAGGGCAATAAATGCCATATTTGACGGCAT